ATGGATGGATGGATGGATGGATGGATGGATGGATGGATGGATGGATGGATGGATGGATGGATGGATGGATGGATGGATGGATGGATGATAATATCTTAATATATTTTTCTAAATTACTTCGATAAATCCTTTGTTTTTATTTTCAGTAGTAAAGTGAACCGACCGTGTTCTGGGCCACTAAGTTCCTCTGCAGAGTAAACTTCTCTATAATGTTGCTTTGTTTTACAATATTTTTTATTTTATTTCAGAGCGTTAAGCTGCGCTCCTCATTAGTTCCCCAGAATCAGACAGAGCGTCTCTATCTGGGCTGTGCTGAGCGATTGGGGGGGGGGCAATAACCAGGCCAGTAATGGATGGAGCTGCTGCTCCTCCATGGCACCACAGAGGCTGAGTTATGGCTCATGCTGCAGCTGCTGATCTGTGACCTGCTGAGTCGCACTGATGAACTCCCTGCAGCCGCCGGAGCGTGCAGGAAAAAAAATAACATGAAGCCAGAGAGAAGTGAATGAAATCTGCTCTCTGCGCCTCTGAATAGAGAAGTTCATTAATTGTAAATAAAAGGACAACTTTTACAATGGATGCAAATTCAGAATGAAATGAAGATTCTCCTTCTATAAACACCTAAAGACATAAAGGATTTGAAGATGTTTGGTTGGTTGTGTGTCTGTGTTGCCCTGTGATGGACTGGTGACCTGTCCAGGATGGACCCGCCTTTTATTAATAGACTACTGGAGATAGAACCCAGCTGCACCACGACCCTGAGTTGATGAAGCTAGAAGACGGATGGATGGATGGAGGTCTGATCATTACTATAACAAAACAGCACAGTTCTGTCCAACCATATGATCTGTTCTGCTAAATAAGGATGGATGAATCAGTCCCTCCATGCTTGGAGGAGATTCTTAAACACCTGGGGGGGTCAGTCCATCACAGGGCAGCATTAAAGAGAAGCCTTGCTCACGTTCTCATATCTAAAATATACACATTTTTTGGAGAAAGCCAAAGAGAAACCATGTATGCACTGGCAGGACATGTTGGTGAAGATTCATCCAGGTCTTGGTCATTCCACTGCACTTTTTTTCCCAAGTTTGAAGACGTTTCGCTTCCCATCCAGGAAGCTTTTTCCATTAAAAATATCAGAAATAGTGTTGAGCTCTTTACAGGGTAGCCCAATAAAGCCTTGTTTAGACTTAGAAAACATGCAAATTGAACCAGAAGAACCGGTCCAGCCTTTAGGAACGGGGACTCGTTGATTTCTTTGTTATCCTGCAATAGGTTGGGTATCGCAGGCTAACATAGACCAGTACAACTAATTGTACTGGTCTATGCCTCTGAAAGGGGAGTCGTAAGGGGTATTGTTAGCCTGGAAACATCTTCAAAGTTGAAAAAACTAAATCCAGTGGTTTATTTTTTTTTTACTTTTTTAGAATGTTAGGACATGCTAACTTCGTGTAGAACAATCTGAGGCACTGAGTTAAAACAAAGAACCTACTGGCTGCAAGAAGGCATAAAACCTTTTGGTTTTGAAATATGCTGAGTCTATGGCATGCAGCGCCTTTCTTAGATGAGGGGCAGGTGCTCCGCAGGAATAAAGAAAAATAAGATCAACTAATGAGGGGGAAAGCTTGTCTGGATCAGAGTGTGTGAACGGAGGATGTTCGCTCATTTGCTCCACCGCTCACATTTGCTCCAGGACGCTCCACTCAAAATCCATCCTGCGCTTACCTTAATTTTCCTGCTGCTTCGGTGTAATCTCTCTGTGCTTGCTAAAATTTTTAGGTTGTTTTTTTTACATTTTCCTTGATTTAATGATACATGTGTATCGTCTTATTTAACTGGCTGTTAAATTATCGCATTGTTTCCCTGCTGTGAACTTAAAGTCGTAGGAAAATCATATTTAAATGTCAAATCATTCTGGCTTAAACATGTATATAAATGTGCTCTTTATCAGATGATATTGTCCCAAAATTTTGAAAATTTCTATTTAAAATAAAATCCTTTCCGTTATCTTCTGCAGGCCAGTTAGTTCTACGTCAGCCTGAACACCTAAATTCATCCAATCATATATTAACGATCATCTGTCAATCAAATGTTTTCGGTCGTAGCATCTTGATTCATGTGTCGCAGCTAATATACGCAACGGTTGAAACCAGAATCCTTTCCTTTCCCATTGAGTTCCGTCCCAGTGTTCACGGGGATGGACGTCTGTGTCTTCGGCAGGCGTAGAGCTAACAGAACTGGCAGCGTTGCGAGGCAAGGGCTCAAACAT